CTTCTTTTTTTTTTCAGCATGGAATAAACCTATTACTTGTTCCTTTACAGTGTATTGTCTCTAAATGTTTGACGAGGTCTTTTACTACTTATGAACAGATTTTTCATGTCAGCAGGGATCAAAAACAGGACTGCACAATAAGTAAAACCAAAGAGTAACATGTTTTAAATTCTTTCTTCTTTAATGATTTAGGGCTAAAATCCTTTCAACACCCTTAAGGGCCCAAAAAGGACTGTACTGCCATCGAGCTGTAGTGCTTTTGCAGCATATTGTAGTTTGTTTGCATGTGTGTTTTGGGCAATTCTCTTAATATTTTGATAGGACATTGCTAAATGTCCATTCCCCGTGTGAAGGAAGAAAAAAAAACAATAGTTGACAGTCTGTAAACACAATAAAACCAGAATATTCAGAAAGAAATAAAGCCTGCATCTGGTATTACTCGGCTACAGTACTGCATTGCGTCTTCAAATTGTCATCAGCTGTGATGTATGGGAGTAAACTCTCAATCTTAATGTTTTAATCACTCTGTCAGTGTTTACCCACACTCTGGGGGGGGGGTGTAGAGAAAATGGGGAGGTGGTTTAGGGAGGAGCTCAATTCTGTGTGCTTTTCGAAATGATAAGAGGACAAGTGCTAGTTCCTTCTTCTCTACTTTTCAAGCGCCACACGTTCTAATGAGCCCCCCTACCCCCCGCTGTGGCAGAGGGCAAACGTGGTGACGTGAAGGTGCTACTGGCAGCTACGGTGGTCTTCAGAACCCCTCTCCCGTGGGCTAATTTATGAGCCACAGAGGCACAATTACAGTGACAGAGAGGGGTCTCTTTCTGCACTGCAATAGCTATTCTAACTGCACCGAGAAGAGAAAAAGAGATGATCTAGGACGAAGAAATGTTTACTGTATGAAATAAGGCTGAAAGGATTTCTGAAGTAGTCTTTTGTAGTACTGCAACGAATTTATTAACACTGTATATAGCCCATAAAGCAACTGATTACTCCAGCAGACTTAAGTTATTATATGCATAATATATAAGGTCTTACAGTTGTATTGTGTTGTCATATTTTCTTGCTTATCATATGTATCTAGCTAATAGATCATTAAGTTTTAATTTTTTACAGTACAATGCTTGTGAATGCGGATGCTTTACATCACCCCTGCTGTGTAATAAAACGTTAGCTGTCAGCTTTACTACCACCTGCAGTTTAATGATAAAAAAAAGCTACTTTTAAAATTACTGCGGTCTAAGGGTACCGGATTTCCCTTTAAAATACCACCCATCCAGTTTCCTAGATGCCAGTTAACCTACAAGTATGTTTGGTGGACTGTGGGAGGAAACCGGGGAACCCATAAGATACCCACATGAACACTGGGAGAACATACAATCTCCAGGCAGAAAGCACCCCCAGGTCCTGAATTGAACCCAGGGTCCCTGTGCTATGAAGCAGCAATGCTACACACTGCGCCACCACACCGCCCCCTTTAAAATACCTGACAAAGCAAATTTTCTGCAATAAATTTCCTTGCCTTGAAAGAACAAAAAGATAAAGGAACGTACGCCGACAGGCTGGAGCACTTACATCGATGTGACAGATTGCTGTTCTCCCTGAGCACGGTGTCGGAGCGCGTGGCAGGATGTGGGTCTGGCACACGAGAGGACTCTGGGGTGGTAAGGGACATGGGCCTGCTGGTGGTTGGGCTGGTGGTGACTAGGGTGCTGGGAAAAGGTGGGGGAACAGTGGCGGTTGAGACACTGGTGGTGCGCACAGTTGTGCTGGGATTTGTGGCTGTTGTCTTCATTGTTGTTGTTGTTGTTGTTGTTGTTGTTGTAATAGTTGTGATAGTCACTGGTTTAGGTTTTATAGTTGGTGGTGCTGTGGAAAAAAAGGGATAAAAACCTTACAGTTGATATTTACTGTAAATAGTAATTCCACCTAATCTTTTAACCTTATGTTTCTCCTTTTTGGGACAACAGCAATTGCTTATTGGTCTTCCCCACATACATAACTACTGCTTCCAATACTAAGAACTTGAGTTGATAGCTAAAGGTCCAGCTGAAAGAATGAGCAGTGAAGGGGCATGCCTAGCACATGTAGCCTATAAAAACATACTGTATATTCAAGACACACACCAGAGAAACGAATTTGCTTACAAATCAGAGGACCTCACTCAATTTTTTGAGAGATTGAGGGAAACTGACTTCCAAAACAGGGCTTTGTTAGCTAAACATTTCCATTTCAGCTACCTGTTATTTGAGAAGCCCGAAAAATGCCTGTGGTACAGGTATTAAACAGCACAGAAGACGAAGCTTCGAAAAAGGAAATCTGATCAGATAGCTCAGTGATAAGGTACTGCTAATGTATGCATGACAGGGTAAACAATGGGTTCCATCATTCATGATATTTTCAAATGTATCACTTTCAGGAAATTGGCATTTGGCGTGTTTCCTCACTTACACAACGGAATTCTGCCGTTTGGGAAACGTGCTAGCTGGGAGACAGACGGGCTGACAAATGGTGCTTTCAGAGGGGGGCAGAGGAATTGTCTTTTTTTTCTTTCTGTTACAGTATATCTTCCAAAACACATTAAATACATAACCTCAGCTCTTCCTCAGTGTTGAACTCCTCGAGCTATGAGCCACTGTGCCCATTCCTTCAGCATTACACTGCACACTTGCAGTCTGGTTACACCTACATTTTCCCATTCGTTTTCTTGACACGTGTCACAAAATTATTTTTGTTAGCCCAACTGCAATTAATTTTTTTTTCCTCTCTCTTCTTCTTATGGCATGCTCTCCAGCCTCTCAGCCACTGAGATAAATCTCCCATGGACAATTTTCCCTTCATTCTCCCTCGGAATGGGACTCTCCTGAGGGACTAACAGGATTCCACAGTTCACACTCAGACTATAAACCTGGACACAGCATGGCTCATCTGTGATGGCAGCTAAGCAGACAGTACGCCTGATGGGATTTGTAAAGCACTGTTTTAGTGGATTTCTGTACTGCTGCCTTCACAGGTGGGTGATTGAGCATTTTTTTAAGCAGTGCCCCTGGCTGCCAGAAAATGTAGGTTCTCCTACCTGAACACTGCTGTACAGATAACAGTAAGCATAATCCCTGAAGCACATGTGCAGGTTTCACTGCAGTGCCTCTTGTAATGCAGCGCAGACGACTGACTCACTAGGCCTCAAATAAAGCTGCTTTATGAGTCTTTAAACCTACCAAAAGAAGCTGCCACATGTGTTAGTGTGATCTCGATTCTGTAAAGTCTCTGTAGGAAGCAGGCATTACCTGTGACACACTCTCTCATGTCCAGGCCAAGTTGCATCCCGTCAGGGCAGGCACAGGTGTATTTGGGAGAGTGATCCGTGATCTGGGGTGCTGGGAGACACAGATATTCGCAGCCTCCGTTCGGCAAAGTACCCACATTGCAGCTGTTTGGAGCTGACGATTCAATCACACAAAACAAATCAGGTTAACGAATGAACATCACAATCACTACATCTTTTTCGATACAAGTAATAGGTTTATTCCACACAACATTTCGGCCGTGGAGCCTTCTTCAGGTGTTTCGATACGTTTTCCGGGTGAGGATTAAAGCTTTCACGAACCAGGAAAGGCAGGTCTGGACTGAGAACGCTAAAGCCTAACTCCTCTCAAATAAAAAAACAAACCCCCAAAAATATTAAAAACAATATATTTTATCCTGGACGATGCAGTACAGGTTATTTCAGTTGTCTCGATAGTAGACTCTTATAGCTATTCCATGACATGCAGCAAAATCCTCTGTAAATAAATTGTTGCATTTAGTCTGAAAAGAAAATGTCCTGATGCAAAAAACAGTTCATATTCTAGGACTTAATACTGCAGCACGAGCAGAACGCACAGTATTTATCTTTCTTGCAAGACAAGGAGATAAAAGGCTGAAGTGAAATCTCCTGAGGATGCCATGCATAGTTTTGTTATTGTTGCTCATTAAGGAATAATAATGTGTCCCGGGACATTTCATATTCAGGAGTACTTTTTGGCAACAAATCATTTTTATTGAGGTTTAAATGAACTGTAATATTTCATCATTAGACACATGACCAGGGATGAAGATCATCCATGTTTTTCGTTCTAAATGCAATTCTAAATGAGCAGAGTTCTGTAGGATTTGTCAGGTCAAATGGTTTAACTTTGGGATTTATCTTTTAATGCTAGTCTTTAAGTATTAATGCCTCATACATTTAAATTAGCTGAACACCAGTGAATTCCATTCACACAGAGAGTTCTTTTTAGCAGTGAAAATCAAATCAACTATATACAGTACATATATTTCTAGATAAATGTGAGGGTTATTTATTTATTCTGCTATTTTGAAAATCTTCATGAAAAAAAAATGAAAAGCAAAGTTGCAGCTCACAGAAAATCCCATCAATGCTCCAAGGCTGTCAGTTTTAGATATGATGTGAAAGATTACAAATGTCACATTTGCTTAAGAGTTTTGGCTTCAGGTTGTCCTTTCTTACCTTTTGGTTGTCTCAGTTCGTGAAACACAACAATATCATGTGGGCTGTTGAGATTCTCAGCCAATGTTGAAACATCATGCCCAGTAAGCCTGTTGGCACTGTAAATTGCTTCATGTTCCAAGTCTGTCCAATAAACCCTGTCCTGTGGAATACAAGCACAGCTGTAAAGCAACAAGTGAGCTGAGTGCAGTAATTTATTTTTAGATGAAACACTGATAGGGCCGCAGTAGACTAGTTCCCTCGGAAATGAAACTTCACATCCTAGGATTTCTATTTTACAGGGCATGGCAATACTTTCTAGGAGGCCTAATTAAGGATGCACATAAAAACAAAACATTTCACAAGTATCTTTAGCCCATCTGGGCTTCAGGCAAGCAGTTATTTGTTTCCTTTAAAAAAATACCTCAGTATTCAGGAGAAGTTTGTTTTTTTAACTTCTCTTATCAGCTGCATGAATGGTAACAAAATCAGCGTGAGGGATGGAAGCTGACGTTTATCCCGTTACCCCGGCAACCACAGATCTATCACTTGTGGAAAGACGTGAAACAACAGAAAATAAAGCTAACTCATGTTGGCAGTTCGTCAGTCACAAGCCCCACTGGATGAGTTGAAGTTTTTGCAGCCACAGATTTTTACTGTAGATTATGTTTTCATTGGTTATACTGTTGTATCCTAAACAGGAATTTAATATTATGGCTGTCAGTATTACTCCAGCTACAACATTTCTACCACATTGTGGTAGCAGATAATGAGTAACAGAGATCCACACTGCACTGCAAGAATTGCTCTGGGATGAGACAAACATTCTTCCCTAAAATAAGAAATCAAATCCCAGAATTCTAAGACCTGCCAGAATCAGAGCATCTTCCAATCATACAGTGAGCAGGGGTAGGAAACTCAAAAGAGCTGCACAGTAGCTCAGTATGTGAGATTTCCTGTCAAAGCCCAAGGAACAGTGAGTGAGCCTGTTCCACAATAAATGTTTTTGCAATGTCCTTAAACGTCTAATATGATGTCTTTACTGTAAATATAAATGTTCTGTTAATTGTTTCTGCTTTGACAACACTGTAATTAATTGGTCACGCTAATAAAGGTCTTTCAATTTGAATAAATAGTATGGGCTACCAAGGAGGTTAATTGGTCTACAGGCTAAGTACAGTAGATGCTGCCAGTTTGGGCTTTAACTGTCATCTACAGGCCAGCTATCTGGGACAAGGATTCCACAAGAAGCCTTGCACAACTAAAAAAGTATTGCAGGGTTGATCTGGCTAAGGTATTCTTGGATTGCTGCTCAACGCTGAGCCCTTGGACTTGCTGGGTACCTGTGAGTTCACACTGTGAGACATTTCACAGAGTGTGAAAATGGTGAGGGGCTTCACAATGGGTGTGTCAGAGGAGAGTGTTTACAGACCTCATTGTGCCACATACTGGGGCAAAGTACATGTACTGTAGTTGCAAACAGGAGCTAATCAACAAATTGAAGTTTCAAAATGTTTTGCAAAAGCAATTATTGATTGCAAAATTAAAAAATAAAAAACAAAAATAGACACCAAAGGTAGGTGCTACAAAAACTGATAATAATGGGAAATGAACTTTTGCACACAAGTCTTTATGTACTTTATGTACTATGCACTCAAAATTGATGCATATGCACTTTTTGGTTCCACATTCAAAATGGTCATGTTTATAACTCATATTTATGACACAGAAAAGCTCCTTCTTCCCAAAAGAAGGAAAAAGATGACTACTTTGCAGTATGTTAGTATGAAATACCCTAGAACAAATCTGTATGCAAAAATGAACTACAGTATATGCAAGGTGAAATTCTGCAAAAAGTCAGCGTGTCAAGAAATGGCACTGAACAACATGAAATGAGCATGCTTCAACATTCATGTATTATCTGTACAATTTGAGACACCCACAGTACTTCAGAGCCATTCTGCTTCCACAGCAGTGTACAGTAGTGTACACTACGAGATGGGCTGTGCAGTAAAGCTTGATTTAATAAAGTGATGGCTTGCTGAGGCGGACATTTCCAGCACCACATAACTCTCGCCACAGCAGTAGGCAAAATACATGTACTTCCTTTCCAACTCAGCAGTTTGAAAAAAAAAACAACACATTATTTCTTGTTCTCACTCAAGTCAAAGACCCTGGGGGCAACTGGGTACATCGACTATGTAATGCCAAAGTGTGGTCTACTGTGATGTACGACTAGGCTGACACTCTGAATGATTCGTCTTCATAGCTGAAATCTTTCATGGTCTCCTGACCACACAGGCTTTTTAATTTTGTTTCAGTCTCGGCTGGTGCTTGGCCCTGGAAAAGTTCATCTACTGCACTGTATCCCAGGCCATGAAATACAATCGCACCGCCCACAATTGTTTTTTTATGACTGATATTTTCTGGGGTACAGCACCCAGACCCTGTCATTACCTCAAACACTGTCAAGGCAAATGGATGACTCAGATGGTCCATGGATGAAATGAGGACCTTCCTGTTGGCTCCATTGAAGTCAACACTGGAGATGAGATGGAGCTTTGCGTCTACCCAATAGAGACGCTTGTTAGGCAAATCTGAAACAAAACACAAGTGCTCTTGCATAAAATGTTCTGAGATCACAATCCTGAAATGATCAAAAAATAGAATCTGTCCAACCTAAAAGATCTGTACTTCAACACACTCTTTAGGTAAGCCTGAAATAACATATATCCATCTAAAAATGTGTTTTACTAAAGGTGAATAAACATTCTGTTCTACCAACAACGTTGGATTATCCTTTTGCATTTACAATATCATTAACGGAATCAAAACTAACAGCTAGTTCATTTTTAACAAGTTCCCTTTCTAAATTAGTTCTAAAAATAGTTCTGTTACTGATATACTAATAAAAAGAATGTTGCTCAAAACTGCCCTTTAGTTAAACACAAACCTTACCAAGAGTTATTCCATTAGGCCATTCAATGCCTTCTGACACCAATATCTGCCGGTCCACACCATTTAGCCCAGCCTTTTCAATCTTGGCCTGGTTACCCCAGTCAGACCAGTACATGAACCTAGAAACACAACACAATATGGATAGAAACCTGGCAAGGGAGTTCCAGAGAGAAGGTGTATGTTTTCTGTTGCACCCTGGGAATGATCCATAGATCAGTCTTTGGAAGACAAGGCACAAATAGTGTTAAACACAAGATTTAACAAGGCTAGACCCATTTCAAGTCTTATAGTGTACATTAATAAAATTATTTTAAGATTCATATACAGAATGAGAAACCAGTGTAGATTTTTAAGAACAATATAAATGATTATACAAGGGCTGAGGCCTAGTCCTTCTAAGTACACAAGCTGCTGAATTCTGAGCTAAGTGTGATTTAGAGATCAAAGACTGAGGTTGACCAGCAAGTATAAAACTGTAAAAGTCAACATTACTGAAGAACTAAACAAGGTTGTTTGTTATCTTTTGTTCACCAGTTTGTTATCTAGAATGTTTTTTTATTTATTTCAATTGCATTTTTCCTCAGGGTCTATCAAAGCCCCTAAATTTCAGACAACTGATTTCAGTTGAGACTGAGTTTTCAACAAAGTTGACTGTAAATTAAGTCTTAAGATAGTCTGAGCCTGGAGGTGTTGTGAACCAAATAGCATTGACTCCTATGCTGTTCGCTGTGAACAGGAAATTGCAGTCAAAAACAAATCTCCTTTTCGGAGTTGAACAATTCAATGAAACTGCCACTGTAACAGATTGCTTTCTCTTTCACAGCACATGCTGGAAAAAAAATCAGTTTTGGAACAAGTCATTAGTAAACATAACTCTACAAGCAATGCATTACACAAAAGAATCTCTCAAATCTAAATGTCTTTGTGTGCATAACAGTAGTATGTTCTTCCCAAAAGCGGAAAAATACAGACTACAGACAATAATTATTTATGAACAGATAGATGTTATTTGCAGGTTTGCACTCATACCTTAATAAACAGAGGAGTTTCCAAATTAGATAAAAGTGAATGAATTACAAAGCACGAAAACGGGACAGGAATGCAATCCCTCTAAACAGGGTTGGGGCTGGCAAGGATTAAAACAAATGGGCTACAAGATCATGGACTCCTCTCTTTTGTCGCCTTTCTTATGTTCTTTAACACACTTTACTAGATTAACAAGCAAGGGGATTATGCAAAAACAAAATTACCTGCTTTTAAAAAGTTTGTAGACATAAAAAATGAGGGTCTGGTGGTCTTAGCAAATAAAAAGCAATTAAGCAGAGAAAAGGGCCAAGTCAGAGACTGCAAGGGGAACCAGGGGGGTGTCGTGTGAAGGACCTGGATGCTCCTTGGTGTGTATTCTAGCCTAAAACACAGATCTGACATCCCAAAGCCTGGACCAAAATTTAGGATGATTGCACAGACACATTCCTCCTTCTGTTCATGCGGCTCACCCTTGTTTTGGATCCAGAGCGATGGCACGGGGCTCGCCGAGGTCGTTGTCCACCAGCGTTTTCCTCTTCTTGCCATCAGCCGTTGCCACGGAGATGCTCTTATTGCCGGAGTCGGTCCAGTAGATGTTCTTGTGCACCCAGTCCATGGCCAGGCCCTCCGGAGAGTGCAGATAGGAGTCTATGAGAGTGACCTGCTGGGAAACGTCACTGGCCTTGTTGATTTGAGTGCTGGGAACAGAACACAATGGAAATGACGGTTTTCTGTATCCTTCAGGGCAAACAGGACTGAGTCACCGCCTCACGCAAGAACACACAAAGTTTTATTGAACAAAATGCGGTTTCCTCGCCACTATAGTTGAATTTCACAATGAATACTTATTACTTTGTATGAATCATACTTGCAACTTCATTCAACTTCAGACCTTGATATTGCTCCTGTTCCGGAATATCTTTTCCAGAGGCTTAACTGCAGTGAACTTTTTGGAGAACTTTTCTGAATCATGAGCACCAGACATGCCCCTGAAATGGCTTGCTGAGATTTTGCAAACCCTGTGAGATTGCTATTATTAGAATGTTCTGTCCCCAATTTAATACAGTTCACACAAGACAATATATAGAGGAAGAAATAGGCAGGAAAAGTGGAACACAAACCCTTCAATGCATTGCAGTGCTTTATCAGCTGAGAGGATGAAGTAAGTCTGAGTGGGACAAGGCAGAGATTAACAAGGCAAACACAGGAAACTGTTTGTTTCCTGTTGTTTTGAGATTGTGGACCTACAGTAATTGCTATCTTAATTAGTTTGAACCTAAAATCACACTGACTTAAAACGATTCTTATCAGAATTAAAGAAAATACAAAAAAACAAATAAATTATAATGCATACCACAAACATCAACATGTTTTACACGATCAAATGAAATCTATTAAACATCATTGAAAACCCTCTGTGTCCTTGATGTCTGTCCATAATGTACAGCTTAATTAGAGAATGGGCAGCTGAATTAGAGAATGAGAAACCAACAGACTGATGAAAAAATGAAATTGCACTGTGCCGAAATAATAATGAGAAAACGATTAAATATTGAAAACAGGCTGATGATTCACATGAATGTTTCCTATGCAAGCAATGTCTTTTATGATGCCGTTACCAAACTATAGTTTGTAGGTACAGCCCAAGCTCTGCTGCACTTACAAGTGTTTAATCGTTCCTTCAAAAACCCTTTAGTCGAGATGTGAGCATGAATAATGAAGACAATTATTCCAGAGGTAAACTGCTCCAAACATATGGTGCAGCACAAAGATTTAGAAGCTCTCCTTAAAGTCTGTCACAACTGTGGGTGATGCCAGGATGGATTAAGTCTCCAGCTCATGAAATTGCAAGAGATGGCAAAGAAATAAGTAAATGACACACACCCCCTTCAATCACTCTTCACCTTTGTGGTGTGCATGTCACACATCAAACACCTACTCTTCTCAAATAAGCGAGCAATTCTTTACTGTTTACGTGGAAGCAAAAGGCAAGGAAGAGAAAAGACGCCACTCAGTCAGTGTTATTTTTGTTTGTTAAGATGGTGCTAATGCATATGTCATTTAGGAAAAGAATACTAATTGGTATTGTAGGCTTGAAAACTCTAAAGGCGAGTGAGCCCTGCTTCAGTCTCTTTTACTGTATGTGCTTCTGTTGAATCTGGAAACACAGGTTTCTGTCATCTTGCATAGACGACCCAATCATCATTTACAATGAACTGGCAATGCTTTAATCAGCCTGTGAAGATGCAGTATTTCTTGTAGTACTGATTGCAGTGCTACTCTGAATAATCTTTTTTCAACAATATTTAAAGCAATGCAATTAGAGAACCAAAAGGGATACAGCTCTGTTTTTTTCAAACAGCAAGATCTGTGTCATCAAACTGCCTTTTGGGATTTTCCATTTTATCCCTGAAAAGTCTGAAATGAATGTGTTTTATCATGTGGGATTTGGGAGACGCTACCTGTAAATCTTGAGGTGAAAAAGGTCACACCAGTACATCTTATTAGCAGTGACGTCCACATCAAGGGCAATGGCGTTCTTTAGAGTGGGCACAACCTGAGTGTAGTCCTTCTTCACAAGGTCAATCCTCCGGATTTCATGTCGGTTTGTGAACATCAAGTAGGGACTCTTTCCTGAGAGAGATCAGAGAGCAATGCGTTTTCATTACAAGTGGGATTTGCAATTCAAAAGATCTTCAGATTTCAACATCACATTTATAAAAAAGGCATTATAAAATAAATTACAGTAAATATTTTTTATGTAATTAAATTATACCATTTGCAGTACAATATCAAGTTAGTGGGGTGGAAGTATTAAACTTAATTGTGTCTATTCAACCATATTTAGATGTCTGGGACGACAACAGCAAAAATATAAAACCATTGAAATGCAAATACAGATTCTGGTGGTAAATCTCTGTCTGTAGTTTTCTGTCTGTAAATGGTTTACCAATATTGTGAGTGGTTTGTAAACATTATATCTCCTGTGGCACAGATGTTGACCACTCTTTAAAAAAAAACTAATTTAATTTAAATGCCCTTAACCTGTTTTTTTTTATTTCAGAACAACAATTTCAACTCTGTGGCCATATCTTGAAACTGCCTTGCAGTCCTTGACATGCTTAAGGTTTTTAAAATCAATTTTCCAAACCTATGTTTCTTCCATTACCCTTTTCACTACAGCCTGTTAATCTTTAATTTAAGTTTTTTTTTCTAATCCAGTTTCTGTGCTCTGATGTCTGGGTTTATAGTTCTGAAATAACTGTGTCACTATCTGTGTTGAAGTGCTGTATTCTTTTGTTTCTGTGGATAGAAAGGCCTTCTCGGTTTATCTCTACGCAGCTTTCATTTCACTGTAATGGAAAAGGATAAACTCTCTTTGATGACTGTACACTGCTAAGACATTGTGGCTCAAAGCATGAAATACTTTGTACCCTTTTACATCTTAAGTTCTACTGATGAGTCTTTCTCTCTGTGTCTTTGTACATCAGTTAAAGTGAAATAGGCATCTTTACACGGTGCTGAGAAAAAAGGTTGTGACCCCCAATGTCATAATAGGAATGACAATTTCTTATCATCCACTCATTTTCGAACAGCTTCTTCCAATTCAGGGTTGCAGGAGAGATGGCGCCTATCTTGGTCATCACAGGTAGACACATTGCCCAAACACAGACACACACTCACACCAGGGTTAATTTTCCCAGAAGGCAATTCATCTACCAGTATGATTTTGGAATGTGGGAGGAAAGCCAGATGAACATGGGGAGAGCATGCAAACTCCTTGCAGATAGCACCACAGGGCGGGAATTGAACGCAGATCCCCAGAGCTGTGAGGTGGCAAAAAACAGCAAAAACAACAAAACACATCTTATACTTACACATCACATATTATTCAATTAGTTCAACGTCCAAGATATACATACAGAGATGCGGAGTGGCCTCTGAATAGGTGCAACACTATGTTTGAAGCTCTGAAATCTCCTCTCTGAAGGGAGAAGTTTAAAAAGGAACATGTGGCATGTCCTTAAATAACCAGAATGGTTTATTTTGACCAATTCAATGTTTAAGAGATGCAGGTAATGAGATAAAAATAATAATAATA